CAGTCTTCGGTTTTGGCAAAAATTAATTAAAGACTCGCGATCAGTCGCGAATTAACTTTTCGGCATTAYCTAACTGTATTCATCTGTACGATACGTCTGGTAGATGGTTAGGTATTTATGGCACGCTTATCTATATGTAAGAACTCCCGATGATTGGGGTTACAGTCGTTTGCCCTGCTGTGGCGTTCGGTCGTCAGTCTTAGGACATGTAATATAATTAATTGTTATTACTAGTATTATGATACACGCGTGAATAAACCATTATGTTTTTGTTATTATTATTTTTATGTACTATCGTTACACACACTGCTCTATTGTCGAGCACAACGATTGTGCAGCGTGACAAAATAATAATATTTGTAATTATTGCGTTACGCCTTACATCGTTTTGTAAACACCAAAAGTGAGTCTACAATGATATAATAATAACAACAACAACAACAAAGCGTTGATAAWATAATATATTAAAATATTTTATACTATATTATATTGTATCGAAAGTTTTCATCTCCCGAGGCCGCCATCGTATTTACCAGTCCTACGCGCACCAAAAAATTACTAAATGAATCCGTCCCGGTGAAATGAGCTGCGTGGGCCGCTCGCAAAAACGACCGATGTCGATATTAAGCGCTTGTTATAATGCATATTATTGTACAATTATTACTATTAGATTACATAGGCGAGAGTCACCGAACTCGATCGGATTTGCATATAATATGTGTTAAATATGGCGAATCGCGTTTCCCGCCCACCACCATCACATCGTCAGTAATACATTTTTCGTCTTTCGCTAGGTGACTTTTACCCGATGCATATATTACTGCAATATAGATATACGACWGTATCGTAATAAACACATTGTAGGTACCCCACACAAACACACACACACAAGTTGTCGATGATTATTTTCGTTTAGACTTTCCAAACACTCATACATGGATATATCACGCATCATCCCACCGATAATTGAAATCGATCTTATACACCTAAAAATCGCGACAAACCACGTCACGACATCTAGGTGATTTTGTTTATTTTTTATATGTTTTATGTATAGGTAAGGTATAATAGTCATTTTTGTTTGAGGTACTACGTCGAAATTTCAATACTTAATTGAATTATGTAGTGGTGAGATGTGTAACGTCCCTGCAAAATATTCTTAAYATATCTCAACGAGAACTCAAAATAATTTAAATATGTAGTTTTCAACAGTTAAATGGCATAAATTCAAATTTTTTTTACCTGAAATTGAATTTTATATCRTTCAAATAGTTAAATAAAATGATTAACATTGGGTGATAAATGCCTGTTAGTTATAGTAAAGCATAAGTTAAGTTTTTGATATTTGATATTTGCTAGAGTATAATAGTTATGACTTATGATTGAATAAAAACAAAAATTATTAAGAACTTACTGATTATGGTTTTCACAAATTGAACTAATTCTAATTTTAATTGCTCGCAGGTTTCTGATATTGAGGTTTAAAAGATTTTTACAAAAGTTCGATTAAATGTGATCCAATGTAGTATATTTCCAACAGTATTATTATTCTTAAATATCAAGAACTAGACCTAGGTACTTGCTCTAATTTTTTAAATTTGTACTTATCCTTTTTACTTTTTAAACGCATAGAAAATTAAATACCAGTATTATATAGTTAAAATTAGTGGTAAAACAATGGCTACCTATTTTAAATTGATATGCTATAAAGATAGATTTGTAAAAATCACGCAGAGCACGTTTTMAAATATGAATAATCCGTGCTTGAACAATTTGCTCAAAAATTAAAAACTGGCAACTATAATAATTATTTTACATATTTAAATATTTTGGTACTAATAGTTTTTACACGCTTAAAATATACATAGAGCAGAAAGTTTGTTTACCGCAAACGTTTTCGATAGGTAACCTGCAAGAGGAAAGTAATCAAAAAATACAACTAAAAATCAGAGTTATTCATAATCTTTACTATAGAGCATATATTTATGTATTCCAATTGTAAATAAAATATACTCGGGTGCTATCGAATGGCACGAACGCGCTAAAAAGATAAAATCTTACGATTATATGATTATATGATTATATAATCTTACGTTCTATGGTATTACTACTATTTATATTATTGATGATTAATCGACCACATGAATTATACGTATGCGGCTATATATATGTGTTGTATCGTTATATATAAGTAATGCAGGATTTATGCTATCTATGCTATAAAAATATTAAATTATTATATTATCATTTCATATGTCGCGTCGCTTTCAGGTTGCTGACCGTGTTGAACTTTGTGGACGACTCGCCTCTGCTCATGTTCGGCCGGGCCGCATTGTTGGGTTACAACGCCCGAGGGGATCCCAAGTATTGTACGACCGCGTATCCGACCTGTCCCAGAGATCCCGACCAGCTGATCAACTACCTGAACAACCACAACGGCGGTTTCTTCCGGTTCTTCAACCAACAACTACCGCAGTACGCTCCGCAGTACGTCAACCACCAGCAGCCTCCGTATCCACAACAACCTCCATATCTGCAAAGACCTCCGTACTCGCAACCACCTCCGTATCTGCAACGGCCTCCGTACACGGATCAGCAACTGCAGAACTACGCTCCCCTGTACCCGAGACCGCATCAGAACTTTGGTTACGGATACAAGTCCCGAGTCGACGACCTGCGACAGAGCCCGAGAATACTCAGCGGGTCACCAAGCCAGTACTACGACGTGCCTTCGGTGAACGACTTGCAACTGGACGGTCCCAGGCCGGCGCCGATGAAGTTTCCGTCGGCGATCGATCACGGCGGCGCCTCGAATTGCTGCGTCTCGCAGTTCGCTTTCCCGTCCGACCAAAATGGCAGCGGCGGTGTGGGGGGTGGAAACCGGCAAGCGAAAAGGGTGAAAATGATTTTCCCCGACAGAACCGGCACAGGTGGGCTCAGGGCCGACTTGGACAAGTACGGCAACTATAAAGGCGTTTACTATGCCGACGGTGCGATCAAGTTCGTCGACGACCCCTCAACGACTGGTGGTCGTCCGTCGACCATCAGACTTCCACAGCGGCAGCCGATCGAAGACTTCGACGTGATCGGCAACCGGTTGCCCTACCAGAGGCGGAAAAAGTTACAGTTTCCCAGAACTTCGGAGTGATGCGACGATAAAAGCGGTACAATATTGGGGCGTATGCATGTGCGGGTAACGGGGTAAGGTGCGATTAAGTTCGTACCCACTCGTTCCCAAAAGTGCAGTGTTAACCTCCATTWAATATTTATATATATATATATAAAAAAACAATTATTTATTTAAGTGCGTTAATTTATGTATTCGTACAATTTTTTAAGGACAATAAATTATTATCATACAGTTAATATAACACGAAAATAGGATAAGGCGCGTAAAAAATTCGGTAGTGGATTTCAGACCCATAATATAGGTAGGTAATGTGTCGTAGTTTAATGAATGTGCTCGTTCGTCAAAATTTTTTAWCACACAARCGATTTGTGATTGTAAATAATATTGTTATCGTATTACGCGCGGCAACTCATTACACTTACCCATCATATGTTTCTTTTCGGATAAAGCATAATACTYCCCGTACACACACACGTCTCGTCTGTTATGATAATTTATTTGTATCAGTGTTAATAGCCAATGTTTTGTATCCATGTTATCATCGACCCTCTCGATATTATTGTGTTACCACTCGCCGCGTATGATCTACGACAATGTTTGTTGCTCATTTTTTTACCATTATTATTTGCATCACAACACTGGTGTACGTATAAAAACTTTAACTTAAATTAAACTATTTATACTGCATATATAATAATAATACCTGTGTAGGTACTTATGGACAACTTTTGTATTTTTTTTTTTGTTTATACATTATTAAGTTAATTTTATAAATACATTTTGTATATAATTTAGGTAACTGCAGATATACTGCCTATACATTGTGTAAAATATAAAATCATATTTATACAGGCTTTAGATTGAGGTAACTTATAAATACCTTATACGATGCACATATAATAATAATATTATTAATAATAATAATAATAATTGTAATGTTTTAATAATAATACATATATATTATTATCGGTTGTAATTATTTATATAGATGTATAAAAAAGAAAAAAACATAAAGTTATTGATTTCTTTTACGCAACTGGTCAGTGATGGTCACCGTAATAACATAAAAATACTTCATCTCATGACAACTTTACTAAGATGATGGCGTGGACATATTATATCTTGTGTCACAAGACATGTTCGCGAAGGTAGACGTAAAAAAAGTCACTTAATTTTGTACATTTTGACCAACTTACTGCAAGTGACGTTAATGTTAAAACAATAAGTCGTACACTACAATCATCAGCAGGTCTGCCTACATTTTGAAAAGTGGTTATAGGTACACCGCGATTTTATTACAATTATTATATTATTATTACGATGCATATAGGTTTAAGGACTAGACTGTGGTCGCTGCGTTGGCGTCACACACGTAGGTATAGTTATTATTTTACAAGATCTTCACTTTCTTCATCATTTGCATCACTTGTAATCCGGGAAACGGACATCCGGGATARAAGTTGTGACATCCCGTGTTGTCGATACCGTTGATGAGTTGGCCCATGTGCGCAGCGAAATGATATTTAGACGTCACTTCGGCCGTCGTGGAAATAGTTGTTTCTCTGTAAATACAAATCGTTTTAATAAAATAATATGTATTTGATGTGGTTTATAATTATAAAGGTCMAACAAAAATCGACGCGTAATAAAACATTTTTAGTTATTTGCTAAACGCAATATCAATATTTTTTATACTTTCATATTTTCAGTTTTGTCGTATTGACGCGGACTGTTGAACCACGCTAGCTTTTCCTAAATCATATCGTTTGTATTTCACTTTGGTTTAAAAAAGGGTAACGTTCAAATCACAATCAAACTAATCAGTGACGTTATTAAATGCGACGTTACTGATTTGTAAATAAGCTAAAATTAAAAATAATAGGTAAGTACTTATCTTTTTGAAAATGTAATTATAATATAATATTATGTATTTTATTAACTATATATATATATATATATTGTTGGAGCTATTTATTAATTATGAAAAATAACGCATTTTTATACATATTATAGTTTATTAATTTTTGTAAAATTAACAGCCGTATGCAGTTTAGCAGTTATGGATATTATAATAATATAAACAATAATCTTTTGATATTTTGAAAATACAAATTATTATTCTGACCATCAATTAATATTCGTTAACATATTTGTGTAATAATATTATAGWATTAAATACATACTAAATAATGATCGGTATGAATGAAATTCGATTATTACCTYTTGCTGTGCCGAGTGCAATTCGACCTTAGTCGTATCAAAAATGTTGCTTTTGACGTTAATATAGAAAAAGATCGATCCGTCATGAGAAAGTATTATGTTGTTAGAATCTTAAGTATATAGGTCAAGTTTTAGATGTGATGTTCAAATTACGGACAACGCCTAGCTTGTGCGACGAGAATTCGAGGCGAACGCGTCAGTAATTGCACAAACCGTGTACGATAATAACAACAACAATACGAACCAGAGGAGAATCAAGGCTAGAATCGCAATTTTCGTATTTTTTCATATTAATATTATCGACGATGAAAATCTTTATCACACGAATTGCTGCGTAATAAATATAATATATGAAAAAAAAACCGATAAAAAAGTCAAATCACTCGAAATCGTCGGCGTTCATGAAAGAAAGATTATAATAATAATACGAAATGCGAATTTAAAAACTTGATTTTATTTGTCTCGATGAGGGAAAAATATAATAATAATATGTAATATTATATATATATATAAACGTGACGTTTAATTTTGCCGAGAAAATTACGATTCCAATCTCCCTCTCTCTCTTTCTCTTGCTGTATGTGTACGCGGTGCTCCTTTCTTCGCTGTCAAATCCCCAAAGGATTCCCCGGCCCGGTCCACACCGTTGCGAGGGTTTCCCGCTCCGCCACGGATGAAAAATAATAATAATAATAGTAATAATAATAATCTTTTGAATATTCACAAAAGGAGGAAGCGGGCGAACGCCGTGGTTCCCGTCGGCAACGACGATTTTCCTCGGATTATTATTATTGGCCCGTTGGAGATCGGTGCGCGCGATCAGTGACACGAGTTATTATTAGTTTTTTCCCCGTGGCGCCAAACTCCTAGTAAGAAAAAAAAACATTTTTAAGTCCAAATCAGAAGTTTCGGGGATCGAGCGAGGGGAATCCCGTGTAAATCATGTCGACGACAGGGAACAAAAAAAAAAATAAGTAATATTATTAACGGGTGGATATTCCGCAAAATCGGTTGTGTGTTATTTTATTATTAATAACGGACTGAGCTCAACCGTACAACCGTACAGAATAATAATAAAAAAAATTATATAATAATTAACAAGTATGTTGATATAATAGTATTGTGATTGTGTATTAARCAGTATGTTGGTTAGAACTTTAGAAGATATAATAGCTATACACAGTAAACCGTGGTCAATATTGAATGATAGTGGCAATCAATCGCAACAAGTATGGATTGAGGTAGCGAGTTAAACGCACGGGAACTCAGAAGTTAACTTGGGATACATAATTTTATTATATTTTCTCGACGCTGAAAATTGATTCCAAAGTCGATTTCGTAAAATTCCCGATAAAAAGCGTAAACCGTTTTATAGTTGATCATCACATTAATAATATGTATCTGGTACTATTGTTGTTGTTGTTGTTGTTATCATTGCAAACTTCTTTTTAATATGAAATTTTTCTATTATTGGACAGGATATCTGTAATTTATGCATTGAATAGATGGATACGCTTTGATTGCCTTGAGCAAACAATTACTGTCTATATCCAATGATTTCGTCACTGGTTGTCTCGAAATGACTGTTGASGATGTTCATTGATGTTACCTATGACCTTTAATTCGTCGATAAAACGGATTCACGATGTATAATATGTTGGTGCTCGTTGGGGTAATTAAACACAAATGTTGTTCAAATTTTGATTTTTGGATCCTTATATAGGTATTTGAGAACCATATTTTACAGCATTTTATAGGATTGTCCTTGTGCGGTATACAAAAAAATTTGYTTTCATTTCATACTTCATTTTTGTATCGTGAGTTACTTGGCAGATGATTTTATATTTTTTGAAAACTGAATTGAAATTAGACTGAACAAGAGGTTTTTGAGTCAAAAAATGTTTGTACTTATCTGTATAAAGGATWAAAGTCCTTAATAGTATTAAATATTCAATATGATGTAGATGTATTATATTTATTATCATCTATCGTTCTAATTAGTTATATTCTAACAATTTTTTTACAAATTTTTACAAATTATAAAAATGTTTATTTATGGCCTATAGATATTAGTATATAAATGTCTATATTTTTCAAATCATCATAGCTTCCATATTTCAATCTTATCATTAGAAAACAGAGGGAAACAACACAAAATGTTCTCGTAAACGTTTCAAGAAAATGAAAAACAGATCGTTTGATGAAAAAAAAAAACTTAAAATAAAATGGGTGGTTCTTGTGTGTGAAAAAATAAATATATGTTGTTACAGAACGTATTTCTTAAATGTTATAAAAACAAGGTCCTCGAATAGGTATGTATATTTACATATTGTGTGTTCTTAAAAAAAATAAAGAGAATAAAATATGAACAAAATACGTTACGAAGAGGATGAACGATGCTTAGTATAAATCACGCTGTACCTAAATAACCAGGATACCCGGTGAAACGTTTACTCCATAGGAGTGTCAATAGTAAATAATATTCTATTAAATTGTTGATTTGAATATTACGACATATTTTAAATAATTATTATATTAAATTCTCTTGCCGGCAACCAGGTGAATGTTTATTAACACGCAGAGTAAGTACAGAGCTCTTATCTCATCTATTATCGTCTCTCGTGGTGATGATATCATTCGATCGATAGCCGTTCGACTACACAATAATATCATCATCGTCGATCCTCATGTTATTTTTCGAAGCGTTTTAAAGTGCGTATATATTTTATCATACGAGAGACACGTTTTAACGCGTATATTCTCTCGTCACGCTGCGTACACAAAAATATTAACATAATAAAAAAATAAATACTTTTTAACGTCGTCGTCATCGGGAGAGGTGCCACTGTACTTAATATATTATATATACTTATATTATCAAGTTATGCACTCGAAATTTACATATACGAGAAAATGCGCAGCAAATCATTATTCTCATATACGAATGCGAACAATTATTGTTGTTGTTGTGTTGTTATAAATATCATGATATACATAATATAATATATACGACGTGCKTATATATTGTGTGCTTTTCCGCGAGAGATTTATCACTTAATTTTTTTCACCATATTATTYCTCCCCGAGTCATAAATAACGACACTCGCATATACATGTAGTGCAGTTCTCGGTGAAGCGATTTATGATTGCTCCGATCGTCTAGCAGTGTTATTTTATTTTCTAACAATTTCCGGTACACGGTTTCCCTCGGCGAAATCCGTTTTCCGCAGAGTGCGCCCGTGACACGTCATCCGGACCGTGTCTTTTTCCATATTGGTTTTGTTCGCGACGAGCAATGAGCATAACACTTAAGCATCGTTTGAAACTCGTGTGAAAAAGAATTCAAACCATCAGTGGATAATATAATTATTRTATTATGTCATTGTCAATATGATCGCAGATACCTAAGATACTACGTGAAGTCGTCATACGTACAATATCCTATAGGTATTATGCTCGTTCTATCCGAAAACCTTCCAACGAATAACTTCTACTCGGACGTGTAGCGCATTTGTTGGAAACAAAATTAAAAAGCTATCTATTATATATAATATGAAATATTAAATCTTTAATTTTTTTTGGGCACCGAGCATAGTTACATACTTCCGACGCACTACATACAATATTGAAACAAAATCTTGAATAAATTGCACAATAACATAAATACAACCTGCTGTGCCGTTGGACTTAGTTGGAAAGTATTACGCAACGAAATAATATTACCACCGACTGCGATTTGCAATGTTTAACGGTTGAAAAATATCCATTTTGTTGCTTGCAGAGTATTATACTGTGCCTATCCTATACATTATTAGCGTGCAGTCGATGTCACCGTTTTTTATTAAGTGTCGCTTACCTATATAAACATACCACTACCGACTCGAGTTAAAGTGAAATCGAAAGTATATTATAAACAATTTCGATATTATTATCGTCATTGCAGACGATTTACCTACTGCAGTGTACTATACAATTATATACGCTGCAGCAGGTGATTTSAACGTTGTAAACTAATGAAAACCTCTTATTGTCATCGAGCACGAGGCCCGTATAATACCGTGGTATATCGYCGTTTAGCAGGCAGGTTACGTGGTATATAGTAAATAATAATAATACCTAATGAGCGACAACAGGTATCTCTCGGATTCGGTGAGCGAGTCCCGATTCGTAGACGCAGTCAGTTCGCAAATGAGTTTCGGCAAACACGATTCCTTGATGGTGTTGACCAGTTTCATTCGAGCCGAATACGATTTGGCTGTGAATAAAATTAAAAACAAACAACATTATAATTAGGTCYGATTATTACACCGCGTTGTAAAATAGACACACACGCACGCACAAACATCGTAAAAACCGGTGCACACGAATGAAAGTAAAACCAACCGGTATTTTCATTTTTTAGTACAACGATAAAAAAAAAAAAAAAAACGCGCGCCGTTATACCCACAAGATATTATTATGTATAATATGTCGTGTGTGCAGTGTGCAGTAATATATTATATCAATCTACTATGTATATACATAAAGTGTGGTATAACGGGCTTTATAATATCGCGTAATAATATATAMTATATTAATGAAACACTATATATATTATATATTATATTGCATAATCGGGTGGGAAGATTTGGTTGGAAATACGAAATATCTTCTGTTTAGTCTCCCGATGTGAATTAAAATACGCGAAAATACTAATTGACAATTTAATTGAAATTGGACGTTTTTATATTATTTTGTACGTGTTGCGAATCCCGAAACGTGTGCCTTTAAAGCGTTGGTCGGGGGGCGTGTTGAGAACTAACACGGCCTACGGAATTGAGGAAAGAATTCGTCCTGCTAAAGAGATTACGAAAATATATTATGTACGGAAGGAGAAGAAAAAGATTAGAACCACTGTAACCCACGGAAGCGTTTCTTCCAAGGCCTATAGTATGTAAGTACCAATGATAATAGGTAATATATCCACGACGTATATACTCGTAAAAGTCGAACGAGGACGTCTATCCAAGTACTACAGAGTACAGACCGAAACACCGCACGGTAGTGACCTTGAAGTGTTACCCGCGTGTCATAGTCGTCTTTTTGTTTTGTATTTTGTATTTTTTTTTTTACTTCGACCCATAGCTCACCGAACGCTTCCATGTCGGGATCTTCGTCGGTACCCTCGCCTTGGTCGTTCGCCATCCGTTCACTGTCGCCGATGTCATCGGGTGGGCCCGCCGACGCCGATGGTTTAGCTGACGACCAAGCCATTCCTTGGCCCGTCGACTTTTCAGCAGACCGCTGCTGGTTCCGCTGCTGAGGATGATAATGGCTGTTGTGCTGTTTCCCGCCGTATCCGGCTTCCTCGAACATGTGCTTGACCATGCCGGCTAAGTCACCGGTCAACAGGAAGAACAACACTATGAGCACGGCGAACCGTGCCAGTCCCGAGTCCATGGCGGCCTAATGTCCGTGCTGGTATGACGTGTTTCACTAGGTATGTAATATTTTACGTGTATAATGTAATGTCAGTGTCGGCGTTTACGGTGGGCGGCAAGACCCGAGCKCATGGCGAGGCTCAATGCTGATGCAGTTCGACGGCAGTCTTGGGAATCAAAGTGAAATCGAAAGCGAAATGAAACCGAAATCGGAAGAATGTGTAATWATGATATTGTTAKTTTATACGGACGCGAACGAGACTGCGGTGAGCCGGTGCGCGTCGGATATTGCGTTCGGTAACGTCGTTGCCGGCGTCGGAACGACCGGCGACCGGCGTCCTTCGGATCCCCWCCACCGCCACCCGAACCTCTCACCCATCCGGCCCAGGCGTTTGGCCTACATATTATTATTATTATTACTATTATGTTGTTATAGCGAGTTGAGTTTGCGACTCCCCTCTCCCGACCGCCCCCACACCGTCGCCCGAGGAAGTGCTGACTATAGTTGGAACAAGTGAAAGTGTAGAGTTTGAAAAAAAAAAACATTACAAAGACCAAAATCACAGCTGCGTCGTGTCGGTTCTTACCGCATCCGACTAACTTTACTATGCAGCCGCGTTGTGTATTGATTTGGCAACACTGTAATCGTTCGTTCGAATAATAATAATAATAATAATTGGCCATGTAATACAATAATATTATTATAATATTATCAAACGACGATCGTCCAAGTACAAACGGTATTATAGAAAGTGAAACCGTGGAACTAATAATAATAATATAGGCTATAGCTACCTTTGACATCATGCATTGGGGACTTATCGATATAGCTCGAATTTTCCTTTTTTCACTCACCAATCGCGTTAGTTAATCGCAGGAGTCATACGTGAAGTCTTCATTCTGGATAGTGATAAAAAGGAAGTAATATACTGAAATTGTGTTTTAGACGCGATTGAACTGAAATTTCCAGGTTTTAAGTATAATTCTCTGCATTTCCCTCGTATACTGCACACCGACAATGATTATATCACAATTACTTTTTGCTGGACCTATCTTATTTGACCAAACGTTTAGGTGTGCTGCGGGTACTCTGTTTCTCAATGAGCTGCCAAAAGATATCATCGATTCATCAGTTTCATATTCCATCGTTATTTTACGTATTTTATAAGGTAGGATACCTCAACGTGG